ACCAACCGTATTGATAATCTCTGCTGTCTTCTCCTCAATCTGATCCACCGAGACCGTAAACTCCGCCGCATACTTAATCATCTCATCGGGAGCCCGTTTCAGCACCCCATTCCTCATCCGCTGGCTATCATCATACTGCGCAGACCGTGCCAGCCTCTCATCGGCCCGAATCTCCTCCAGGATCTGCAGCATAGTCTTCTTCCCATGCTTGGCCATGCCCCCAGCTGCCTTTTCCACGGGCCAGAAGAACAACGGACCATACCAGTCCTCGTGAACAGCCGTCTGCGCCAGCCCTTCAGCTACAATAGCAGGCTGGTTGAACTCAAGACCGAATCCGAAGTGGATGAATGGATGGATCAAGCCTATTGCTACCAGTCAGCCATCAAATACCCCTCAAACAGGTAAGAGGGAAAGGAGAAAATACCTCCAAACAACCTCCCCAACATCAACTCAGCCACCTCACCCCCGGAATCCGAGAAAAGATACTCCCCCAACACCCTCTCCTCCCCCTTCTCCTTCATCTGACGTTGAAAGAACTCCAGATAATTACTATAATGCTTCTCCTGTCCCAGATACTTCAAGAACCCTTCTGCCTTTCCCATCTGACTCACCACCTCCTCATCCACGGACATCTTGGGCCGCTGATAGCTGCTATTCTTGTCATATGCGGCGCGGATTTGTTCCGGAGTTGCACCGAGGGCATATAGACTTAGGATGTGGTGGGGGATGTGGTCTATACCAACCCATTAGCGATAACATATCTTCAGTATAAGTAGGGAATGAGGGGAGAGGAGAGGACATACTATGAAACCCACTCTGATTAAAAAACACATGATGGGATCGCATATCCTCCTGGAGAACCTCACTCGCCACGCGCGCTGACTCCTCGCTCAGATTATGAGAGACGATCCCATGATCATGTTCAGGGGAGAGATGGATATTCGTAGACGTTGCCATGGGGGAATCACCCTGAAGTGACCGTTGTAGAGAGGTGGCGGTAGTAGTAGTAGTTGATAGATTCATTCTGGGCAGTAAGTATCCGTCCCTATAATATGAAGACGACCTAAATCGCAACCCAGAAGCACTGGTAAAAGCAGACTTTCTGAGCGCCTGACTCAAAAAAGATGATGAAGAGAGGCAGTAGCGTAGAGTCATCCGTAGTACTCTACCCCAGTTTCAATCAGTACGGGGGATGTGTGTGTCAGGTAAGCTTAAATATCCCTGAACCAAAGTTCCAGTGCGGTCTGATCTAGTCAGCAATCCCAGCCAAGTGGTCAGTTCTACTACCGTAGTAGGATATCTCGTATTCATCGTCACTTGGTACTACTCAGTTAAGTAAGGTAAGGTAGGATTTGATTTCTTGGTTCGGGATCGTCGGAGTCGCGAGAACCGAGAGAGAGAGAGAGAAATGGTTATTTGGATCGACGTCATGCTGATATGGACCGGGCCCTAACCTGGTGGGTATCATTCCGTACAAAGTACGGTTATTATTATTCTTCTTCTTCGCTAGCTGTCTTTAGATTGAGGGGTAAAGGCTAATCAGATCTATTGTGATTGGGTATCTAGCTAGCTGATTCCACAGGGTTGAAACTAAGGAATGGTGGCTGGGGATTGGGGAAGTGTATCCGAGTTTGATTTAAAGTTCTGCAGAATTGTATAAGTGGTAAGTGAGGAGTAACTGGTGATTGGTGAGTGGCGGGTGGTTACTAGTGGTTAGGATCTGGGGTAGCTGCATTAGTAACATGATGGGGTCAAGCTCGGGCTCGGCCTCTGGCTCGGTGTTTGGCGCTGTTGCTTACTCTATATTGCATTTGGGATTGGGTCTGGACTTCAGCTATTAATAAACTATCCAGTTGATGCTGGGTGGTACCTTGATGGTTTAGGGGATGATGGTGGTTCTAGGGCTTCATTTACAAGAGTCTGTTTAAGAATGCACCTTAAGTTCCATTCGTATGTGAGATTACTTTTCACTAATGCATGTCCAATCTAAACTGGGTATGTCGTATAAAGTATGTTGTGTCGGTCTGGGTATTAACTTTGTTCGAACTACCGCATGAAATCCTCCAACTCCTTCTTCCGCTTCAGTCGCTCGCGCTCCAGCTTCCGGAACAGCGGGTGATGGCCCACCTTATCCTTCAGCTGCTTGTTCCGGCTCTTGTTGTACTCAATATATGCCATGTCTTCACCGCCGGCCAGGCCGCTGAGCGTCGCCGCACTGCGCTTGACTGCTCCCTTTCGCTGGCCGCCCGAACGTCCTGAGAAAAGATCGTCCGTGACATGCTCTACCTCGGCAGAAGTCTCGTTCTGTAACATCACCTCCTGCAACAGCTCACGCCGTTCGCTGGGTGTGGCGTACGCCAGACCCTCCAGGTTTTCGATGCCTTGCAGGTGAGTAATGACCTTGAACGCGTAGCCCTGGTCGACCAGGAAAGCCTGTCGCTTGGAGGAGTAGAACATTTCATCTGTGTCTTTCGACACGAGCGAGTAGAAGAAGGCGTTGAATCCCTCGTCGTTACGACGCTTGGCTCGCAGAATACGACCAAGTCGTTGGGCTTCCTGACGACGGGAACCGTAGTGAGACGAAATCTGGATCAGACAAGTGGCTTCCGGCAGATCGAGCGACGTGTCTCCGATCTTGGAGAGGAAGATAGTGTTGACTTGTTCATTGTGCTGGAAGTTCTCCAGAATGCGCATGCGCTCGTTCTGTGGAGTACCACCGTAGATATAGGCCTTGTTCAGTTTGAGTGCATATCGTTGAAGAGCATAGACGTTGTCGGAAAAGACAATGACCTTATCGCCTCGCTTCTCATGGTAGTCGATCAGGAACTGGCAGGCTTGAAATTTCCGCGGGTTCATGATGTATAGAAGAGCAGCCTTTCGTGACTTCTCTCTCATGTATTCGGAGTAAAATTCAGTCGTCATCGGACACCACACCTCGGCGCACTGAACCTTGGCAATGTGCCCTTGCTCGGCCAGTTCCATCCAGTTGGCTTCGTACAATTTCGGTCCAATCAAGAAGTTCAGATCCTTGATCTTGTCATCCTCTCGCAACAGCGTTGCCGTCAATCCCAATTTACTCTGACACGCAATTGCCGACGTGACCTTTCGGAACATCGATGCAGGCACGACGTGCACCTCGTCAAGAATCATCAGACCCCACTCTCGTGACTGGATCCAATCCATCATCTTCTGCGCATCATGCGACCGAGCACGCGTCTGGGACACCATGGAGTAAGTTGACACGATGATACCAGTCGATCGACGGAACTTCTCCTTGTTGTCTGATGTGAACACGGCAATATCACCGGGATCGATGTTGGACCAGCGCAAGAACTCGTTACGCCATTGCACGACCGACATCGAACTGGTACACAAGACAATTGTTCCCTTCTTGATTGTGCAGCCCGCCGTGATACCCACCAGCGTCTTTCCTGCACCACAAGGCAAGACAATGATTCCACTCTTCGCACGTCCATTACCGAACATCTTACTCAAACTCTTTTCTTGGTAGCTTCGAATTCTTGCGGCTGGCTTCAAGTCGATATCCAAGGTGGGATTGATCTCATCGTTTCGGAAATCATACTCCTCCAGCGCTGGACAGCCCATGGCCTGACAGCGCGCCTTGACGGGTTCGACTGCTTCGTTGGGAATTTCGAAACTGTGCACTTGAACTTCCTCCTCATCGTCATCATCGTCGCGAATCGCCAGCAGGATATCGTCCTCTTTACGAGCTTCGCCTGCGCCGTCTTCCGCCGGCTTCTGCTCCGAAGCCTGTCTAACACCCGCTGCATCCTTTGTACCCGGAATGACCAGACCACCCATTTTCGGGGCCGCCTGCTGAATAATGCCCTCCGTGCCTTTCAATCTCTGAGACCCAATAACCTCATCCTGCAGCAGCATCTGCAACATCGCCGGATCGGTACTCTCCACGAAGAAGCGGTTATGTTTCAACACGACCTTGATTTTTCCGTATGATTTCGTAAAGTCGAGAATGAACGACTTGATGGTATCCGGAAGCGGCGTTTTCGACAATCGATCCAGAAAGTTGATGATATCCTGGGGCAACAAACCCACCGAGACAGCCGCATACAAACTATTCCCCGTCAATCGGTATTCGTGCAGATGGGTCGGACGCGACAGCGGTTCGGCGATAGTAGTCAAGAAGTCCTGCGCCTGGGGTGCAAGCGGCGAGAAACTCTCCAAAGTGATAGTTCCTTTGAGAGGATCGATCCAGAGCGGGCGGTTCGCATGATCAGGTTTCAACGATAGCGAGGAAAAGTCCTTGTAACCGAAATCGGGGTCCTGTCTCTGTACGGCGGCGCTTTTCTTGTTGCTAAAGGATTCGAGGGAGAATTTCTCCAAGACACCTTGTAAGCAAAAGATGTCAGCATCCAGACCCTATATGCAGGAAACTCCACTTCTACGCTACCTTTCAGGTTGTCATCCTTGACTTCTTCCTCGTAGTCTGAGTATTCATCACTACTACCAACATCCGGCACAGGTGTGGGCCGTTTCGATGCTCTACTTGACCGACCGCTATCCGTAGCTTTGCGTTTGATGGGCATTATGTATGTATGTAACCTCTTCCCAGTTCGACCAGAGTCGAAGGGGATCGTCTAATGTAGTGAAGAGGATGCGATGCGGGACGGTGAGAGAATGATGTACGCGGGTGCTCCGAAAGGCTACCGGCGCCTGGACGAGCGTGAAGGGAATACGGCAGCTCGATAGCTCCAGGGGTCGTGGACCAAATCGACCAGCTGAAGCAGTGAGGCACAGAAGCTGGTGAGAGCGCAACGAAGATAAAGTGAGAGCAAGAAAAAAGCAGGGGAGATGATCAAGAACGAGAAGCATGAGATGAGGCTCTCGGGAATGACAAATGCACGCCTGAGGCAACAAGGCGAGTGGCGATCCGACAATGCAGCGCTGTGATTGGCTGGGTGTCACTCACTAAAGGGAACCGGCCGGTTTGACGTAGTCTAGTCCTTAGGTAAAGTCCGGAGCTTCTTGCGAGTCCGCGGCTCCGAGTCCACCTCTGTACAGACAAACCCGTCGAGGCCAGATTAACATTCACAATGAACACGGTATGTTCCAGTTCCTTTATAGCTTTGTCTATAATGTCTCGCTAACAATTGCTCCGTCGCTATCGATCAGATCCGATCTACATGGTGAGCGAACCCTACAACAAACACCTGCCTGCTAGGCGTCCACACCACCTGGAATACACACAATACTAACGGAAACTCACCCAACCCAACAGGATAGGCTGGGGCACCCTTTGCGTCGGTAAGAAGTAATCTGTGAACCCAAATCAATGTATCCATATCACTAATATCGAAATACAACAGCTGGCGGCGGAGCCTACTACTTTGCTAAGAAATCCATCAACGCCGACCGTCAGACCCGTTTCGAAGCGGAAGTGAAGCGCAAGGCGCAGCTGGCTGCGATGGAAGCCGAGCACCGACGCCAGAACGCCCCGAACAATGTCCCGACTCCTAGTCCGACCGAAGATCCGAGCCTGAAGCGCGCCCAGTTAGTGCGTGCCGATGATGTGGGCTCGCCCAGTGCTGAAGCTAGCCATGACCCCGCACCGACTCGTCACGAACCGGAGACTGAAGCTGAGCGGGTGCTGGAAAAGAGTAAATATGAGGCTACGCAGCCTTTCCGGCCTCCGAGGGGAAACCGCTTGTAGGGCTGGTGGGTAGTTAGTTTGCACATACGAATATGAGATGGACGCGGCGATGGTAAAACAAGGGGGAGAAGAAGAAAAGGCTATGTTCTGGCATTTTCATGTATCATAGTTTGGTTTTTGGAGCTGCAGGAACTAGGTATAGTATGACCTGCTTAAATATCTTGATCGGCGGGGTTATCCCTGCTAACGTAGGGGCATAGCTACAGTAAGTTGATCCGTAGGTCGGGATGAACTCTTTGTCTATACAGCAGTGCTTTAAGGAGTAGATGTTGGTTTCAGTAATGCTTCGATTGAAATTAAGTAGCCATAAGGTATTGTTCTATAGGTAAAATAGCCACGATCAATCCGAAATGAAGGTCGTGGAGCATCCACCAATCCCACCAAAAGAGAGACGCCCACATTGATGGGTGTAACCGGGCTGGCACCTGTCCAGATCCCTTCCCCAATCATGAGACTTTCTTCAACGGGTAAGGATGCAACTATGCATGTGATAAGCCCAACATAGTAAGGAGAAAAAGCAAAGCAAGGAACGCCATCGAAACTCCCGCCCGCCTTAAACAGAGGTATGATATGCATCTCTGCCAAAAGAAAAGCCCCGAGTCATGTCGCGTGAGTCCTTCAGACGGAATGTATGTATGTAAGCAATCGCCCAGCTCCCTTACGCCTTGACCGATCAGCAAGTGTTGATCCCGAAAGAAATGATTCAGTGCGAAAAGTGAAAAATCGCGCGATATCGAGAAGTTTCCTAACGCCCGGAGTGGGTGGTGGTCGTTCGGAAATGAGCCCCGCTAGTCGTGTGGGAGTTATATCCGATCGGATATAGAGACTACCTCCGCTTAGCGCGCGTGGAAGCATAGCGGTGGGTGCGGCCTATCATGGGTTATTAATATCAGGTGTTTGAAGATTATGAATGTTTCAGAGAGGAGATCTAACTTGTTGTGATTGGGGTATCCATTGTTCTTCTCGCGAGAACTCTCAAGAGCTGGAGGTACGAAGGGAAGCACCACAGCCGTGAATAGACAGGAGCTGGTGATGAAGCGGGAAATGCGAGTGTCTGGCTGAGGACGGCGGACGGAAAAGTGGCGGATGGTTGGGCGGGCGAGTTGCATGGCGATAGACATGGTGAACGGTGTTTTGGTTGAGGGAACTGGCGTTTATGGATATTGCCAGGAAAAGTATTCGATCAGGAGAGTGGGTTGTCCAGTAAAGTAATAAGTAGATAGGAGGAAGCGGCGCCTTTTTCAAGGGGGAAGTAAGTTCAACAGGTAAGCGTTCTTCAAAGGTTAATACTAATGATAAAAAGGTTGCACAACTGCTGTGCGGCAATACGGACCTACTTATAATAATTATGGTATAGGACTCTATCAAGGCTTGTTAGAGGCAAATGGAGGATCAGCCTACACCTCAGCCGAACGGACCGTGTTACCCTGTGGGGGGGTGGTTGTCTTGCGGGGGTTCAAAAAGGCCCACAGGCCCATGATGATTGCTAGGCTAGTCCCTCAACTAATGCTGATTGATGATGACACTGAGTTTTGGGTTTCGAGAACCTTGAGGGATAAACGAAAAGCGCGCGGAAAAACGGTCCCGAATCATGTAGCCATCAGCTGGAGATCGGATAGCATGCCAGGCAGTTGTCGATTCTAGTGTCTATGTAGATTAGTCGATGTTCATACACCTCACTCCATACCTGTCACCTGCATTCCTACCATAATGGATGATGCATGGACCACATGAGTTATGTGGGCACCCACTGATGTACCGTCGCATTGACCAAAAGGGCATTGATGATCCAGTCTCAACACTGTTGAACTGACTCACAGGAGTGAAGGTGAGAACTCACGCCATCGAGGGGCAGCTGATCGCGATTTCCGGCCGAAGGAAACAGCGGGGCTCAATGACGGACCGGCCAGGCACGCGGGCGGCGATCGCGGTAGTTGGTTAGTAGTACTGTAGTAGACTAGTTTAGTTGTTGCTCAGGCGCGGTTGGGCATGGCGTGCCAGGCTGCAACTCCCCCCCCCAAAACAGTGGTCCCGGCCCGCTGGAGTTTAAGGTCTGGTCACTCGCTTGTCTGATGGCGGGACTTGAGTATCCGGCCTGGCGGTGTGTGGTTTTTGACGTATGAGTGAAGAACGGACTGGTTGAGTGACTGCGGTTGGTCCATGACAATAGATATCACTATTTGTGTGTACGTACACATTGAGCACGAGCCTAAGGTGATCAGGGGCAGCTAGGTGTCCATCTACCTAGACAATTCCATTGTTACAACGTAGGAGGGGAGATTAAAGGGGAGAGAAACACGAAGCAATCCTGCATCGATCATGCCACTTCCCCCCCACGGCGCCTGAGGCCGCCAATCATAACTGACGTCACCGATGTGTCCCCGCGAATCATGACTCAGCTATTAGTCCAGCCAAGTTGGCTCCCTCCCATTCACAACATTGAATACTCCATGGGTACTCCATAGAACTCTGAAGATAGTACTTCAAAATACTGCGTTGTGTCGTAAATTCTCTGATAGGCGGGAAGAGGTGTCTATCAGCTATTTGGACAACGACAGAGCGGCATCCGTTGTCAGTCGAATACTCATGTTAGTACTGGCATCTTTTATTCTGGTAAATATAAATAAGCTTCATGGAGATACTACTATCTGACACTTGGCTCCACATGTACATACTGCAGTGCTCTTTAAAAACTCCCTATGTCAGTTGCAGTACGGATCGGGTAGAGCCCTCTCACTCTTCAGTTCCCTCGCCATACCAAGCTGCAGCTACTAGTAAACTAGTATGCTAGTATATGCATGTCCAGATCAGTGGTGGAAGATATGATCCGGGGGTACCGATCTGAGGGGCTCGGGCCATGATGCTTCTCCATCCACATGTGGATGCCAATATTGCTGAACATATGGAGTGCTCCTAGTAATATAGTTTAGGACAGACACTATGCGTTACCTCAGCCGTAATGCTCACTGTTGTTACTGAATACTGGTATTATCATGTGACTCCGATCTTGAATTATAATTGAGATGATGGTTTCTCGGCCATGAACTTCGCACATCTTTGCAGAACCATCAACTCTAACAAATCTGATAGAGAATATTGATTCGAAAATGGGTGAACTATGAGAGAAATGTTTTGATTGCTGACATAGTGCATCCCTTCAGCAGAAGTTTGACAGGTTATTCTTTTACCGTTCACTGTCACCCTCACCGCCTGTGCCATGGCAACAGCTACTAGTTATGGTCTAGACTACTACATGTACCTATATGGCATAGGTGACTTGAATGTTGACCCTCACTATGGAGGGTGGCCCATCAATCACTGACGCCATTGAGAAAAAAGATTGCATGAGCTCTCAGAATAAGTACCGATCTGACTATAGCGATGAAAGCGACAGTGAGGTTGGTGTGACTTGGTCTCCTGGTGACGGAGTATGTCCCTCAACAGCAGAGTTCCATCATTGCTGTCAGTCCAATTTTGATGAATGGAAGGATGCGACCTCAATGCCTCTAAGTGACACTACCTCTTTCTACACCTACTTGGTTGACTTTCTAAGCCTCCTCAAACATGTCCCCCCGTTTCTATCCTGCCTCCCAGACGATGTCCATATTACAGGGAGACGGAGAACATTTCTTATGCTTAGATCCTCTCTACAGATACACTCAACAGACGATCCAGACTGCGATCAACCTTACAAGCTGATTGATTATCTTCAATGCCTCGGATTTCCAAAGCCTGTCGTCTACAAGCTGAAAGCTGAGACGCAATTACAACCGATTTTTCCGATACACACCAAGGCCTTTCGCTCTGGGTATTTTACAAACATCGTTCTAGCTTGGTCCTACATTGTTTCCTGCCGCTGGTCAGAAATATTCCAACGAGCAGGTTGGAACAGCCAGGTACTCCATGAAAATGGTATGCAGATTGAGGACTCTTTCTGGCATCTTGTCACGCAAGGCTGCTGGTTAGCACTAGTGAAGAAAGAAACCGCAAAATTCTGTTCTCCATGGATGATGGCAAGTGAGGGGGCTAAAAAAAGCCGGTAAATCTGAAATGTCAGTCGATATTCGTTGTTATGGACTAACTGGTTTATGAAGCAATTGGGTGCCAGTCACACCAAATTCGTCTCTGGCCTTTGATATTCTTGTGAATTTTTGCATATCGGAAGGCCTGGAACTAGAATTGACCACCGGTCTTGCGTCTGTTTTACTATTGACCTCACGGAACACACCTTCGCCTATCCTCGCTCCTGCTGTAGCAGCCCCGACTGCTTCTGCTGCCTATCTACCAAGAGCAAAAGACGCAGTCTTTCATGAACTTTACCAATCTATTGATAGATTTCTCACTTTAAGCTCCACACAGGATGCATTGGACTCGTTAATATGCAGTGCCTTTTTTGACCCATCTATTCCCTGTAATATCATGGGAGCTGCATCTTTGGGTGTGAGGAAAGCCCTCTCAACGGCGAACAAGATGGATAACCAACAGCTCCTTAGAGCGATCACATATACGAACCCGTCTCTATGTCACTTCTGGGTCGCAGCTATTCGTGGAGGTCAAGTAGACTCCTTTCTAAACATGAGTCTGTATACTCTACCGCCTATATGTCTTGTGGCCGCCTTTTGGACAGATACAGCTCAATCCTTTCTCCAGATGGAGTATTGCTCAGGCAAAGTAGAGAAGACAGTCATTACTCGGGCACATGAGTTTCAAACTTCATTTTATTGCCGGTCAAGCACATCGGTGCCCTGGTCACCTGCACCTCCCTTCGGCACAACTCCCGTCGAGAATGTCAGTCTTGAAATCCGACAACACCTCGGACATATGCACAGACCTATCTCATGGACCACATGCTGGGTTCTGAGTTCGGGAAAGAGGATCCCCGCGACCGAACCGTACCAAATTCGTCAGTCCCAGGTTCAGAGGGTGATACGCCCTTCATCTACAGAGCATTCTAACAAGTAAGTCTGGGGATATCAGCTGCATTACCGCTCTATATACTAACTATCAAGCGTGTCCTACGCCGAACAAAATGCTGCTGATGAACAGTCAGGGGTTGCAACATCACGTTTGTTCAATTGGCATAGAAGCTATGATGATGGCATCTGGCTTGATGATGGAACGGGAGACATCGAAATGATTCGTCGACTCCAGCAGCACCAATGGATTATCGATCCATTTTCCGCAAGTGAGCTTGACGATCTAGTTGAAGAACCTAAGGATCGCGAGCTGAACTTTGAGGGTATCTTACTGTGGATAGATGAAACTGACCACCATCGACACTAGCATCAGTAAGTTGCTTCAAGGTTGATTTCTCATGAGATATTTCTAGAATCTCACTAGAGAGATACGATCGTGTATTAAGGTTCGTAAAATTTTAATATCCAGCGCGGATATACGCTCCGAGTTCTGGGTCAAAAAACATCACAAGTGGCCTGTGAGGCTGAAGGAGCTGAGATCAGTCTCCACGCCGCTGTGAACGAAGCCGTGCTACAAAATGACAATCTTTGGCCAATCACAATACAACATGGTATAACAAGCCCAAGGTCGTGCTATTGTTGGAAATGACCTTACTGCATGAGGCGCAAAACCAATTCCCACTCCGCAAATTTCCAGAGGAGTAGACGTCCAACCCCGCCCCCTATCAGGAATCACATATTCAATGCTCTAGAACTCAGGGAGATCATGCCCTGCTGGGACTTCATAGAATCCAATTGCTATAAAGCGTGGGGCTTTTTTGGTAGCAGACTCTTTCTGACGCAAGTGACAAAGCCTTGCAAGGGGCTTGTGGCTCAGAGTCCTAACGAACTAGTGACTAGTGTCCCTTAGCCGTCTGCTAAATTGACAGAAGCACCCTTAGGAGCAGACTTGCGACACTTCATTCAGACGGGGCGATACACCTTCAAGCTCTATATCACAGCGTTTTATTAACATGTTGAAAGGAACGATGGAGGATCACAAAAGTCGTAGGTGTTGGGCGTAAAAGAGTTCTCACACATCCTTTACTATTCTATCTTCGTTCGTCGATGTTCGGAATAGGCTAACCTTGCGGAGAAGGATTCTAAACGATTTCTCGAATCGCATCTTACAGTGGGTCTGGCGAGACCGGCGTGGCGGAGCACCTGATAACCTCACTCTTGCACCGAGTACGTGCAGCGAATGTTAATCCTAGGGCAGTGTAATAGTCGCAGGCACCACAAGTGGAGAGACACCCTATTTTCACCGGCTGCTAGCTATGCCATAATTTAGCCATTCGGCATGAGCTCCGACCTAGGCGTTGCGGCTGAACTTACTCAAGTGTCTTTTATCTACCCCAGCTTTTGGCCCCATGTGCTCAAACACTGGTTCCCCTTGGCTCTTCCAGCCGCCAGGAGTTGACTTCTGCTTCGGTTCCATGCATTAAACTAGGTATAGTGCAATGCTCATCCTTATTTGCAACACAGCCTGGTGATGAGTGCTAAACCTTAAACGGCAGGTGACTACGCTTACTGCTTTTGCATGCTCATGAGCGGATGCAAAATCAACAAAGGTTCCAATGAGCTGATGCTTGCTGAATCTTCACATCACCTATGCTTAATTAAGGCTTTTCTCTGTGAAACCATGACACTACCAAGGCTCTGTGGACTCAGGAGGCACAGTGCTGGCTAGGCAGGTCCATGTGGTTGTCAGCCTCTAATTGTCAGCCGCAAGGTCACACCAATAGTGGTATTCAGCCCCTCTATCAAAGCACCGCAGGTAGCATGTTTCTCATAACAACTAAGATTTTACCCTGCACGGTGTTTCACTTTCAGGAGAACCATGCATGGCCTGGCTATTTCAATACAACGACCGAAGGAAGATGGATTGAGGTACCCGAAAATAGTGGGCAATGGCCGTGGGGGCGAAATCTACCATCGCCCTCATCATGCCCCATTCAAACTGCAGGGTCGTGTTGGTTTCTCCATTCTCCTCGAGACTTCATTCGCTGACAGTGCTTTGAAACAGTGCCCTTGTCTAGAACTGGGCAATTGTACATGGTTCTTTCGTGCCTTGTACGTATCGCCTGCAGCTCCCGTGGGAGCTAACGAGTCCATGGATTGCCATTTACAGGACCTGAATGGAGCGTCACAGTATCTTGTTTATCTTAAGCGTTTAAAATCTGAAGCAGACATCCACGGTATACTGATTGGGAGACATCACGTTCAACTGCTTGGGCGTTGTCCCGCTACGACTTCATACGGGGATCATCCTCCGAATCGCCCCCAATCTCACTCTAGAACACGAAATCTTTTCTCTCGGTTGGTCTTGGGTCGACTCCGCCCCCCATGAAGGATGTAGCCTCAGGAGCTACTCCAGGAACCTACCTATTGCGGACGGCTTGTCATGTCCTGAGTGGGCAGTGTCAGAGCCTTGGCCGGGCTCTGACCTAGTGTTGCTAATGGCACACGGGAACTGTTGGTTGGGGGCCAATGATCCATCCGACTTAAAAGGATGAGATACATCTCCTAAGCTGGAGCAGATCACAAGAACTCTTTCATTTCATTATCGTCACTCTCTTCGTTTCCCTTCTTGGGACAGTCACTCTTTTTGTCTTCTGCAAAGACAGTCGTTCTTTATATTGCTTCAATCCTATACCTTCATTTCACTTCATACGACCAATACGACCAGAGATCTAGTTCAAGATGGTTAACCCTCTCCACAATGGAGTGGCCACTGGTCTCTTGGCTTCCTTCCTCATCCAACAGGGTCTGGCTTTAGAACTGACCGCATTCAACCCTTCTACAACAACGAACACGCAGGTCAAGGTGGCGGCGGCTGGGACTGAAGTCCAAACTCAGGACTATTCCAGCGTTGATCTGCGAACTAGTCACTCGTTCTACTGGGGTGGTAAGTGTACAACTCTTGGCGCTTGACTATACAAGGAAATAGCTAACATGCTTGGAATAGCTTCTAGCGGTGGCGGGTCCACCTTGGGTAACCTGACTCTTGTGGACGAAAGCATTCTCCCCATGGAGTCTTTCAGCGATATGCTGGAGAACATTCAGTGCACCAATTCGAGTATTACCTTGGGCTTCTCAGATACAGATGCGTTCTCCTATGCGAAGAACTCGTGGACTTGGGTGAACAAGGCTGCCAACAACTCATTTCTTATGGTGGCTGGCGTCCAGCAATGTAGCTGGAACACCCAACGTGTTCCTTTCGTCATTACGGCTGCCAACTTTCAAGACAACTCTACAGTACGTTTGGCCGGTAAATCGGCGACCTGGGATGATGTCCTTCGAAACCATGAGATCACCATCGGCAAGGCCCCGAGTGACATGGCAGTCGAGCTCACCAAGCGAGGCATAACTTCAGGAACTAAGTCTGGTTCGATCAGTATTGATAAAACCGCGTCCGACAAATCAGTGAAGATCTTCTCGAAAGACGACCTCACGCTCAGCGCTGAATGCAAATCGTGCGGAACTAGTGGTGAATTTGACGTTGAATTCAAGTACAAAGTGAAGCCAAGTGGCAGCGGTTTCTTGAGCGAGATCGGAAGCGCGTTTTCCGGAGATTGGGATGTCGAGACCGCGGAACTTACGCTTACACCGAAGGATGTCGAGCTAGACATCACTCCTGCTCTGGACCTGAGCGGAAACCTGACCAAATCCTACTCGGATGAAGCGCAGATTGCTGCATTGACCCTTGAGGGAATTAAAATCCCGGATGTCTTCACCCTGGACGTGCAGCTTGCTTTCGACATCGGAGCCAGCGCTGGTCCCGTCAATGGCGATGCGTCCATCTCCTATCCCATGAAAATCTCGCTTGACAATGATGCAGAGGCTGTTCTCGACATTGCGAACAAGAAGGTCACGCACAAGGACTGGACCCCGACCATCACGACTTCTGGCGTCCAACTTGATGCTGAGATCGACGCCACCCTTGAGGCTTATGTCAAGGCTTCCCTCGAGTTGGTCCTTTCTGTCGGCAGTACGTACAAGGATTATGAGTATATTAGAGCTGCAACGCTAACCCTGTCTAGGAAAATGGGGATACGAAGCCGGTATCTATCTCAAGCCCTACCTGGCAGTAGACTTCACTGCCGAAGCATGTGAGTGAACTGACAAGACCTGGTCTATGGTAGCCTCTGCTGACAACATGTAGCCACGAGTGGCACTTGCTCGGACACGTCCAAGAACTACCACTATGCGATCGAAGTGGAACCTTATGCTGGAATTGAGCTCGGCGCAGAGGTGGCTAAAGTGAGCGACGAGGGTAACCCGATTGCGGATGCCACTCTTGCAGTAAGTCGAGCCTAGCGACGGGCGAATATGCGCTTGGAGAGCCTAGCTAACCCCTTCGCAGTCCTTCACCAAGTCCATGTCGTCGACCTGCATTGGTTTCGACAGTATCACTTCGACCAAGACTGCCACATCCACGAAGACCAAGTCGACTGATGAATCCTCGTCCGACGATGAGACTTCTACCAAGTCCAAGTCCAAGTCTAAGTCCAAGTCGTCCACCAAGTCATCCACCAAGTCATCCTCCAAGTCGGCCTCCAAGTCGGCTTCCAAGACCAAGTCTCACCCTAACAGCGCATCTGCATCTGCTACTCCAACCGGCCACTCTTCCACCCACAAGCACACCTCCAGCTCCACCAAGTCTTCGGAAACCAGCAAGTCCACCATCACGTCGTATCCTAAGACCACCTCGGCTAAAGCCACGAGTTCCCACGCAGCTGCCAGTTCGTCTGCTCACAGCGTGCACAACCACGGCCGCAGCTTCAGACAGCATGGCCGTATCTAAGCAGGTTCATGGAAGTTATGAGCTGATGCTGTCTCTGACAGTTACCTTCATGTTATGATTTCATTTCTTGTCCGTGTGTGCGCATGCAGGCAACTGTACTATTTATTATAGATTATTTGATTGGATGTAACGTTGAATTTATACGTTCGTGTAATGAGATTAGTTAAAGAGTTACAACGGCTTCACAGCAATTTATTTACATAGACTACCTACATATGTTCGGATTTTGAGTTTCCATCTGTAGCTCGACGATGTGTACATGACTTGAGTAAAATTTGGGTCCAGCATCCGGCAATATGCATACTTCGTTGCTAATTTCCGCAATGTGGCCATACTTGTAGTATTATCAACTATATAGCACCAGGACACCTGATATTATTCACAAATAATGGTGTCTACACCACGTGTTCAACAGCTGTATAGAGTGTAAGTTAGTAGGGCGGCCGCGATCACGTGCAAAGCCCGGAGCTCCGCCATCTCCGCCTCAGGATCCAGCATATCGGTGCCTCACTTCCCTCTGCTTCAGTCTCACTCATTCCCAACAATAACACGCCCAGCAATGGCATCCCATCAACTCGCCATTGCCAAGGCCTCCTTCTCCGCAGGGCTTCTACGTCCAGACCCGACGTCCGTCGCGCGCGACGAAATCACAGCCTTTCACACCAGCCTAGACCGGGCGCTATCGCATTGCACCCCGGCAAACATCCAGGTTTGAACCGATGCGTCCTTAACCACTGGCGAATACACCAGAAGTACTAAAATGATTTTCTCTCTTGCGCGCCCCCTAGACCTGCAAACAATGGCTCCTGGAATACGTCGTCTCGTCAGGTAACCGCGTAGGCGGATGGGCCAAATACCTAGCTGCGTTGTCTGGATCATTCGAAACATCATCCACACCATCGCCGGCCGAGAGTGGTGGGAAAAGGTCGACATCGACATCTGGCAAGCGGAAACGCCTCCATATCCTATATTTGCTGAATGATGTGCTGCACCATACGAAATACCACCTGGATACGAGCGCCGCGTTTAGCACATTGAGCGGATCGCTGCAACCGCATGTGGTCGAGCTGTTGGGCTACGCGGCGTCGTATGATCGCGAGAAGAACCCGAAACATCATCGTCGCTTGGATGAGTTGCTGGATATCTGGGAGGAGAATCGCTATTACGGCAGTGATTATGTGAATAAGCTACGGGAGGTGGTTAAGAATGCTTCGGTCTCGGGTCCGGTCAAGACGTCGCTGAGTGTCGAGGAGAGTAATTTGGATTTCGCGGGAGCTGGTGCGAAACCAATGCCCTCGGGCAAGGATGTCCCGTTCGTTATGCCGGCTACGCATGGTGATCCGTCTATGCCGTACTACGATCTACCTGCGGGAAACCTTGTTCCGCATATTATCCCGGATTCGACGGTGCCCCTGCGACCGGACACAATCAAGCCGCTGCAGTTCTTGGCTGGGCCGGCGGACGAGAATCTTGTCGTGGCGCTGAAGAAGTTCATGAAGGACGTGGATCGGATATATGGGACGGAAGAGCCGGAGCATGAAGAGGACGAGGTGGTGGATATCGATGATCTCGGCCAGGTGGTCGTCCGCGATGCCGATGGGGAGGTAATCGAAGGAGAAACATACTACGGATGGTCACGATCATTCTGCCAACAGATGAAGAAGCGCCAGGCAAAGGGAGACATGAGTCGCAGCCGGAGCCGCAGTCGCAGTCCCGTCAAGCGCCGACGATACAGCGACAGCGCCAGCGACTGGAGTTCGCGTTCACGATCACGAACTCGTTCACCGCAACGCAGATCACGACGGCGTGATTCCCGATCCCGAACACGGTCTCCGTACCGGCCTCGCAGTGCATCCCGGTCCAAGTCGCGGGAGCGATCCAAGTCCTATTCTCCGCGTCCGCCAGCTCCCCGATCCATCCCTCCTCCGCCTGAATACCATCATCAACAACAACCTCAATACCCACCACCACACAATGCATATGGAAATGCAGCACCACCGCCCCCTCCGGCTCCGGTAGGATATCATGCACCACCACCGCCTCCACCGCAAATGGGGTATCCCCCGGCCGGCGGCGTACCACCACATTTCGCTTTTCCGCCGGGAGGACCGGCCCCGCCTCCGCCTCCGCCACCGAACTATCAGGGTGCTTGGCCGCCGCCGCCGCCGCCTCCGATGAACCTCGGGGCGGCACCTCCACCGCCGCCGCATGCTCCGCATCAAGGTTCCCATTTCCCACCGCCATATGGACAGGGTCAGTATGTGCAGCAGATGCCGCCGGGGTCGTATCATTTCCCTCCTCCTCATCCAGGAAGTCATCCAGGAAGTCATCCAGGAAGGGGAGGATGGTATGGTGGAGGTGTAGGTGGAGGTGGAGGAAGAGGTGGACAGGGATGGCGCTGATATCAACAGATGCCTTGTACTGTATTGACCGATATAACACTACATCATGCCATATGCCATATTTTATTAATGAACGACAGATGACAGTCGATTGATCAACCCTACATACATAACAATTATAACATATCACATCCTAATAGTAACGTAACCCATGTACTGTACCAGAACCAATCACAGATAAGAATCCCTAAACCCTACCCTTTTAAACATACGACTCTCCCTCGAGACTTGATCACCATTCGCACTAGCTAGCACCAGCACCAGCAGATGCAGATGCAGACGCACTCGCCGAAGCAGAAGCAGAAGTAGAAGCCTGCGCCACCAACATACTCTCCCTCTGCTTACTATCATTAATGGCATCATTCTTATCCTTGATCGCATCGTCATACGGCTTACAAGCCGACGAAACAGGCTGGGATGATCCTTCAGACTGTCCTCACATTGACATATTAGCATCATACCCACACCCACTCCAACAATTCACCAAACCCAAATATAAAGAAAGGGATAAACATACATTCGGCTGCCCATCACAACACATAACCTGATGCTTACACTGATCATTCGGCGTATCGTCTTGCATACCAGTACCTATAACCCACCACTCAGTTAGCCATCCGTCCCACACACCCCCCCAAAGGGATTTATACTTGGGATACTTACAATCCAACCCCAACACCGAATTAACATCAATCCCCCCAATCCAAGGGATCAACATACCCAGAGGCTGGGTAATTTGCGAGGCGATATCATTGATAGATTCACAACATTGTTTTGATCGTTGAGACGGGGGGCAGGTGGAGTTGTTGGAGTCCGTTAGGGTTTCGTTGACGATGATTTTGGCGATCGCGGCGGAGAGGCCTTCTGGTGTGTCGAGGGCTGAGGGGGTTGATGAAGTGGATGGGGTGCTGGAGGTGGAGGATGGGGAGAGGGGAACGCAGGTTGTTAGGGGGGTTAGGATTGTTATGGTTATTAGTGTGGTTAGGGTGAGGTGCATTTTTGCTGATGTGACTTCTTTGTGACTTTTGTGTAGTTAGTAGTATCTGTGTGTATTATAAGTTTCTGGGTATGTGTCTGGGGGAGGAGGTATAGGTGGTGTTGGGATGAGGGATGTGTATGTGTGTATATAGTAGGTGGTTTGAGTTCAGGGATAGTAGGGTAGGGTTAGGATAGGGATAGGAAGGGGAGGGGGGGGGAAAGGATATATCCTCCTGTCTCCCTCGTTGCCTGGCAGGCTGGAACAACAACATTCCCAGGGGATACTTAATCTAAGTTGACTCTGGATTGGAATGGTATTGGTATGGCCTCCCAACAGGATTGATGGAATGCGGATGCGACTCCCGTTGGTCCGTCAGCTGTCTACAATCTACACTACAACTCTTTTGCTGCAGACTGGCTGATAAGTATCCGAGTAGAGTACTTCAACAGTCCCACAGCTGCAATCGGCTCTCGTGCAACTGCTTCTCGCATGGCTATACCCAACACACTCACTGCAGGAGCAAAGTACGCAAGGGATATGAGTCATGATTCAGAGAAACCGTGCATTAGTAGATACACCAGGACCAGCCTCAAATAAAAGGATGATAGTAATACACCAGAAACAAGGAAGAAGAAAAAAAAAAGAAAAAACAGGAAAAGCTACTATGCCAATGGCTGCATATATTCATGCGCTGCTCTCTGCACTACATGAACAGCACAAAGTGAGAGTGAGTGACGAGGGTCAGAAAAAAAAAAAAAAAGCCAGGGCTGGCAGACCAAACAATCCTCTCAGCGAACACAAGCCGATGTCAGAATTGGTGTGTAATACCAAGTCGTTGTCAACTGGAGTCGTTCAATTCGAGGTACTGGTGGAAAAGAAAGAAAAAAAAACAAATCAAACACACATGCAGTAGGGTCTCACGGAGCCTTGGCTCGGACGTCGCCCGTTTCTATGAATCGCTTCGCCATCGCTTTCGAATTCAGAGCGCGCTCGCTTGTCAATTATAACGCCGGGAGAACACGTCAAGCTTGTCTTCGGCGACGTGCCTCCCCAGATTGCCCACAGACTCCACCGTAAAACGTAATTCGTGAACTCGTCCCCAGGCCAGATGAGGGAAGTAGCCATTACAGCCACCCCTTCCTCACCCGGATGCGCCTTCAGAAGGACAGGTCGGCCGAGTTCACGCCGGACTCGCGTTTGGCAGATTCGGAGCTATCGTGAGCCGCTCCAGTCGTGCCGGCAGCTTGACGGGCAAGCATACCGCTGGTCGAGGTGCCGCTGTTGCCGCTGGTTTGGCTGCTGCGGCTGCTTCGGCTGGACCCCTTTCCGTCATCGAGGTCGGCAAAATCCGCCATGCGGCGTTGGGTGTATTCGAGCATGACTCGGCTGTAGTCCTCTACGGACGAGTTGGGGTCGGCAGCTCGACCTGTCTCAAGATGGTCGCCGGGAGGGCGGCAGCCCTCACCACTGGTAGGGGGCATCGAGTGGTATTCGTCGTCATGCATAGCAGTGGCCATCTTGTTGTCTAGATAGGAGGTCAGTCATGTCCAACCGCCGTAAACAGCTACGATGCAAAGCTGGTTCAGAGAACATCATCGTTGATACGGAAGAACCATCATGGTCAGATGATCTGTCGACATCACGTATAAGGGTGAGACCAGTGCATAAAGGAATATCCCTTCCATGCCTATACGGCAACAAACTGCGCATGCTTACCTCAAGATCAGTGGAACAGAACGGTAAGGAAAAGTAAGATCAATAGTTATTGAAGGTCAAAGACAATAGTTTCAGGAATAACCACGGAAGCAGTGTGGGATCCCCAAAAGAAGACTAGCACGAGGTTTCAGGTGGACAGATTTGGTACGCAACAGCTTTGGGCAGCAACAACAATCGGGAAACTCTTTACATCGGACCAACATATAAGATGGGACTACCCGCAAGATAAATGCTCTGACCAGACCAACATGAGATCACAAAACGGACCATGACAGAACCGCTGGACGACCTGTCGACCATAGGGGGTAGGCTCGACTTGTCCATGGCCCGAGAGCAGAGGAGTCCACCGTGTTGTTGTGCCTCGAAGACCCTCATAGGACAGCCATGACATCATTTGCCGTCGCAGGGCTCCTCTCAGTGGCATCCTTCATGCAGAAGAGGGTCGATGGGGCCTGCAACGGCGTTCTTCCAGTACCTTCAGTTTTGTCCCCCCTCCACTCCATCGGTGCGGCGACGGCAGCGGCGGCGGCGACTGGGGCCCGGACCAGAACTCCTCCACCAGGGAGGGAAGGATTATCGGAAATAACCGTACTCCACTGGCTCTCTTCGGCCGGTGTTACCCCCGGATGGTCCACGGTCCCATCATTTAGAGGAGCAGCATGAGGTCACCGATGGAATGCGACTGGTGCATTGGAGAATTTATGGCGTCGAAAGATCGACAGTCTGCGCTTACTGAAGTGCACGTCCCTGCAGATCGGCACTTGTACTGGCTGAGGCCTGGATGAGTCCGCAGGCCGCCTAAGAATCCAACATGAGGTATGATGGTTGACAGCGAGCTATCATGGTGGGGGAAGGAAGTTTGTCTCAGGAGCTAGTTGCATGCACAATATGTGAGAGAAAGATGGAGGGAGACTATGGGGACGCGATGTGTCATGGATGAACCTAAAAGTGAAAGGACGCTAGTTGACTAGGAGTATGCAAAAGGAGGGTTAGCGTGGAGGATGGCTACTGATCATCTCTGGTGCCAGTAACTGTGAAAGAGAGGATGAGGATATCTCATCTTCACAGCTGTAAACTACTCCATTCTCAACCAGAGAAGTTCGTCCAGTTGCTGTGGCGGGCCCAAGACCCATTCTCCCTGGAGGGAACCGACAACCGATAAAGATTAAACTAACACAACCCTGCAGAAGTAGAGCAGTACCGAACAAGGGGCCCAGTTGTAACTGGGGACGTAGTTTGGAACGGGGAGACAAGAGAGTCTGGGAAAGTGATGGAGACGATGAATTCATTCTTGCAAATGCAGGCCGATGATTGGCTGATGAGAGGAGTTCGGATCAAGCTAGCGCCATGGCTGCATCGGGAATGGCGCGGTGCCTGGGGTGCGCATGACGTCAGGCATAAGGCCGCCACCGAGTCATATTTGCTCGTTGGCTCCATCTTCATATTCACCTCCTACCACACACAATATCCATTTACGAGGTATGATGGAGTCCTCCAGACACTCATTTCCCCATCCATGCATTCTGGTCCTCTTCCTCTGACCCAGGAGCTTGGTGTATCCTCCGGCATCGCCAACCTTCCTTGGAAACCATCCCCTTCTTTCCAACAAAGCGTAGGCGAATCGATATTTAAATCGCATCGATTCCCAGCAAAACGTCGCATAACCTAGTCATATCATAGAGTTGATAATCTGGTATCGGGCCACTGCACACGGCAGGCAATGCATGCTGCAGAATCCGGGACGCCTTCCGGATTGGATCCGATCTGTTCGGTGCCCCATGCAGCTCATGCGCTAACGATCGTTGCTAGGACACGCAGTCAGGGACACACACCCAGCCTCCCCTTTCTGCTATTCTCCGGCTGTTTGTTGATATCCCACAGCGACCCACATGTAAAATCTTCATCAGCAGAAGGTTCGGTTGGCGGCCCCCAGGTGGATCAAAACGCAACCAAACTGCTCGCGTAAGAAGTTGGCAGCCCTGAAGGGCACTCCCTAGACTAGCGCATTTGATCTCCTCGGGACGCTGCACTGTGGGCAGCTAGTAGCCCGGCTCAAAGGGGCCACGGACAGAAAGTACTACTGTGCCTGTGTGTCCAATCCAGGCAACGATCCCCGGCAAGGAAGTTAGCTGCTGCAGCACTCCGACGCGAAATGCGAAAGCGGAAAGTAAAACACGCTGTATGCGGACTGCACAACCAACGACCATCAGCGATAATCATAATTAAATCAAACTTGGAACGCTTTCTGGGCCTAGATCACAGGAGCGAGCGGTGGATTATCACTCAATGTGACATCCGTTCCCGTGGGCCCATCGCGGAACAATGTTCCTGGAAACAAATGATGAATTCCTTCTCGGTTCTCACGGCGCGGTTGTTATCTCCTTGTCTCGGATTTGGATAAATGAATACGCCCATGATATTGGATGCCGCGTCTCCCCACCCCCACGTCAACGAAAGAAAAAGCGCAGGCGTAACTGGCTCCATGGATTTGGAAATATGAGACGGTGAGATTAGAATCACTGCGACTGGCGAGGAGCAATCGTCTCTGACCGCTCCCATGATATCACATTGTCTTCGGACTGCCCTTGACATGCTTTTCGCGCTCTTGAGCGAGCGGGAAATATCCCATGGACTAGACCCCAACAGACAGAATATTGAGAACCTGAACCTGAACACCCTGCTTAACGGTTGACTAGGCATATGCGCCTCCTCGGTTATGGGACGCTTCTTCACGTCATACCGCCAGGGATCGTGGAACCCATGATGTTGTCTGCACCACTGGAAACGTTCCAGTCCTGCTTCCGAGTCAGATTATGACGATACGGCCACCAGACTCCCTCGCATTGATCAAGTCCTCGCCTCTAGTGACGCCACGTAGTTCCATCTCGCAGGTCAGACAGCGCTCGATTGAACATGGTGTCCTCCTAAGCACCGTCTCCATGACATGACATTTCTGAGACAGTTGGCCGATCATGCTAGGGGGGAAGAAGGCTAGGCCTGCTTCTCCGCTCTGACGATGTCATATGTTCGCGGCCCGTGAGGCCGAATCAGCTCGAATACGTACCTCCATCACACCCTATCGACATTCCCCGGAACGCCCATATCTCGGAAGAGAAAGAGACAATCCACGTTGCCGTAGTGAGACATCCAACGTCATGCTTAACCCATTTATCAGTCCACAATCCCTAACCCCAAAAAGAAATTCTCGTTAATACCAAGATGTTTGTTCCGATTGACCAGCTCCATTATCAGGAGTAAAAAAAAAATGCTCTAGATCCCTACAACAGCGGGTAGATACAAACAGACGCCACAATCAAAGGACAGAAGAAATATTTTGCATCATGCTCGCACATCATCACACGTAACCTGTAGTCATTAATCAGCTCCAACGGCCCCATTACCAGACGGGGAATAACACATAGCCCACGAATAACACTCGAAATTCAGTTGTAAAAGGAAATCGACACTTACCTTTCCTAGCACCCTGGAAGAAGAACCTCACAACGAACACCTGCAGTGCGGCCATCGAAACCATCATCAAGCCCTCAATCACGCTAAAGTTGAAAATCCGACGCTCAGTACTACGAACGGTGCTGAAGTTGCGGTTCTCTCTCGTGCGGAAGTACTTCTGGTTGCGGGTGATGGTGGAGAGCTGAGCGGACAGCTTGAAGATCGACTCCTCGAGAGCGGAGGCCTGCTCGGGGCTAGCACCCTGGCGGGAGGGCAGTTGTGCGCGTTCCTCGTTCTCGACCTGTAGACACGCACACACGTGCGTAATCAGTCTCAATCCCCTTTTACACTACTTTGTCATATACCCCAGAGGGTGACTGGGTCGCCGGTATGATAATAGGTAACCAAAACAAACAAAACATACCGCGATCTCGAAATCGACAATCTTCTCCGCAAAGGTCGACATGTCATTGTTGAAGCAGAACCGGTACTCGCCAATGCTCTGGGCCGTGAACACAAAATCACCCTGTCTTTCTTTGGTACCATCCAGGACCACCTTCTCGCCGGGTCCGACAACGGAGTAATCGATATCGAAGGAACCGCCGGATTGGACCTATTAGAAACTCCCGGTTAATGGACACTCCCACATTGTGGAATAGAGAAGGGATAGGAGCACTTACAGCAAAGTAAAACGCAAGCTTCACGTTCCTCTGGTCAACATAGTTGTAGAAACACGCTTTTTCGTTGGCCTCGAGGCGGTAGGTCAGGGCCGTAGCAGCCACAGACGAAACAAAGGTGGCCAAGAGGCCGATAACCAGGGCTGCGAAGCGCATTGCGAGCAGAGGTGCGGAACAAGAGGAGCTGCGACCTCAAGTTTAGGATTACGCTTCAGGGGGGAAAGGTGAATGGATTCAAAGACAACGCAACTAGACTAATTGATGGAGTTGGAAGTTCTGGCCAGCTGTGACTTTGGCCCGCTCCGTTTGTTGTGTTTGCACTAATAGGCTTGTCCTCCCGTTTATCCTCGACCTAATTGGGATGGACCCGCCTCCTGTTGTATTTAATCAACTACTGGCTTGTTGTACTGCCAACTTTACTACTTTGGCACAGGAAGCAAGTAAATGCAAAATATGTCGGGCATCTGTCAGAATGGCTATATTACTCCCACAGCGGCCCGTATTTTGACTAACTATTGTGCACTTATAGGGTTTATTCATAAGGCTCGCATCGTTCCAAGCTAGTTCATACATCAATTCCAGCTGCTAAAAGCATATCAAAACGGAACCATTAAGCCTGCCCTTCTAAGCTACCAGACAGACCAATACCACAACACATCGAAATAATCGCATCTGTTCATCATGTATAAAGTATGTTGTTTTTTGAAGTTCTTTCTTCGTGAGCTGATTCGCCTGGGCAACACGTCCTCCGTATGTTCATAATGGTATGCGTTCCCTGCCAATCATAAGATAGACTCCCAGCAAAAAAAGACGTGCATGGCAATAACTATCAAGCGAAACTCCCATCTATCGGATGAAGAACGATTCGCTCCGGTTCCAAAAATTGCGGTTCTTATTTACATGCTCGAGACCAAGCAGGTCGTCCGAATCACCGATGATGTCGGAGAGAATATCATCTGAACAGCATCAGCCAAACAATGCGTTCGTCTAGGAAACAGAGTCGGATCACTCACCATCTTCCACATAACGCGGGTTGGAATACATGTTGCGAGACACCACAGCAAACTTGATCTTCTCAAATTGCTTGCCCTTGATGCCAGTCCGCTTAGACAGTCGCTCCTTGGTCTGCTTGAAAATCTCGCCCTAGTAAACGTTAGAAGGCGGTTACCCGAAGTCAGGCGAAATTGCAACGTACCGGCTTCATAACAAACTTGAAAGGCACGCCATGCGGCCGGTTGACCTCGCGGTCAAAGTTGAAGGCATTTATCGTCCGCTCGCCGTCCTGCATGTTGGCCTCTTCTTCGGGCACCCTCTCGGCGTACAGTGATACAAATTCGTTAATTCCAGCGATCTTCGAGTCGGCCTGGAATTCCCGGTAGATCTTGCCGCCATGGGTCTCATAGACGCGGGTCTCGCGGATCGTCTCGTCGTCCAGGTTTGCCTTCTTCTGAAGGCCGGCAACAAGGTCTGCGATGGTACCGTCGCGGGGAACCAACACCTCCACCAGTTGCTAAACACTATTTAGCTCCAATCCTTTGCAAAAGCGTGGTTATCAATCGGGACTTACCTCCTTGGTGATGCCTTCAGGAAGCCATGTAACCTTCAGGCAGGTCTTAGACTCAAAGTCACTCAAGCTAGTTTCCAGAACCTCGTAGTACAAGGCATCCTGGCGATGCATGCTGTATCCGTAGGTTGTTGCTTGCCCACCGAGAATATGATACAGGGTTTGGTTGGGTTGGTTAGAGTTCCGCTTAATGAACGCCTTTGGCTTGCCGGTACTTGCAAGGACCGGCGCGAAGCGCAGATGAGTCGATTCCACGTTCAGGTGCTCGCCGACCTTCTTCGAGAACTGATCGTAAGTCATCTTACGACTCAACGTGAGTGTAAACTCATCGCCTTCATCCGCCTTGATTGGAGCAAAAGTAATGTTGATCCTGTTCAGCAGGTAATCATAATATTGCCTTGCGTCCGTATACAAGGCGGTTGCCGGTAGGTCTGACTCCTTGATCGTTCTCTGGAAGGTGATGATGTCTCCATCCTGGATCTCGGACTGCTGGAAGGTCTGCTTCGGCTTCATCACGTCGATCATGTTATGTTTGATCTCTTCGAACAGCATGAACTCGGTCCCAGCAGGCCAGCCCATCTTCTCGAGGATGATAGGGGCGAGGTCAGCAACCTTCTGTGTCTTGCGCACATAGACTGCACCGACACCCGCGATTGTTTGCGAGGGCGCATCGAAATGTTTCAAAAAGACGAGCACCGAGTTGTTATCCGGCCAGGAGATCGATCCATCTGCGGAAGGCTGGCCCACCTCCATCCAGACCTTGAACGGGTTTCCTTTCGTGCCATAGCGATTGTAAGCTTCCTCCACAGTCATGTCCTGATCCTTGATGACTTGGTCCGGCCGAGTCGTCTTGTTCTGTCGGTTCACCATGACCCAGAAACGGACCTGTTCAGGATCGAGTCCCTTCTCCTCTGCGAGCTGCTGTGCAAACTCTCCGACCTTCTTAGCCCGGAGGATTCTGTATTGCTTCGGCACCGCAGGATCGGTAGCTGGCAGGTCTGCACTTGTGAGATCGAATCCGTGATGGGCCTGGAAAGATTCGTCGCTCAATACGCCAACATTGATATACAGGTGGGCTTCTTCTCTCTCCTTCTTCCTGCGCGCCAACTCGATACGTTCTTCCACGAGTCGGTTTTCTGCGGCATAGTTTAGTATAGATCATTAAAGCTGATAAAAGTGCCCAACATACCGATGTGGGAAGGAACTTGCTCCTTTGTTATAGGCAAGAGGACATCATCCAATCTCGACTTCCGAATGTATACCAGCATGTAAGCGTTCATTGAGCGCTTTGTCGACAGCCCGCGGGTATAAGGCTGTCTGACACCAGCCGCGCCGTTGGCCAGTTCATATTCACCACCGTAGTTCTCCTCAAGCACCTCCTTGTCCGTAGCCCGGGTCACCCGATCGTCGTCGAACCGGTACCAGTGTCCATCCTTGGTAGGCTTCAAAAAGGCGTAGTAATGACCGGCATTAAGATCACCGCTGTGCACCAGCACACCGTGCAATTCGTAGATCCAGGGTTCAGACTTATCAGCATCGTTAGAAAGGTACGGGGTAGCGTCGAACTCCATGGGGAAGGCGTGGCGGTCGTTGATCTTCATCATAGCGTCACGATGGATGTCATACTCGAACCGCTTGAGATGAAGGTGCAGAACAGGTGGGAAGCTCTCAAAGATCACACCCTTCTTGGCGTCCTGAAGACCGTATGGCTGTCCGGCATCGTACTTGTTCTCGCCTTCGAGAGTCTCCACCTGGATGTAGTCCTTGAAACTGTCGTCGAGAGTCTTGTTGCCTCGAACGTTGAGTTGAATATCCCAGAAGTCCTCCACTCGCGACGATTCGTAGTCGACATTGATGCAGGAGATATAGGTTTTCGTTTTTCCGACGAACATCTCCGGGAGTGCCTTCTCTGCCGGCGTGCCCTTCATCTTCTCCTCCATCCTCTCCATAAGCTTTCGAGAAAGCTCCTGGACATCCTGTTGCTCAAAGATTTGTCGCGATTCCCAGCCGAAGGATGCTGTGAGTTCTGTTGTCGAGACAGAATTCTCACTAGTTTGGAGGTTATAGAACAGTCTCTGAAGAGTCCAAGCGCTGTTGTCTCTCGAAGCCTCGGCCTCTGTCGGGATTTCGTAGACGGCCTTGATGCGTGTTAGCACATTCACGCCGAAGCAGATAGATACTGCCACGTACCTTGCGGAATTTGTTGGTGAAGTATAAAGATTGCAGAAGCGAATTCAGATAGCAGGTTGCGCCTTGGTTCTTCAACCCAACCATGCCTGTCTCCTTCTTCGAGTCGTAGCTGGAAGCAATCAGCAAGAGGTCCGCGTAGACGTCGGAGCAGATACATACTTCTGGAAGCTGTGCCACAGTACTCCTGTGGGATCCTTGACGACACGCACGTATGCCGTGATCTTGGCCTCTTCGTTCTGCACCAGAGGGACGCCACGGCCCTCCCATGGCACGTTAAAGAGCCTGCGCAGTTCACAAAATCGGGTAAATCCCCAATCACCCTCGTCCGCATTGAATCGATGTGTGGCGACTGCATTCCGATCAGCGAAAATAGCCACGGCTTCCAGTCCGGGTATACGCACCGTGAGAGATGTAGATGGATGGGTCGTTGACGTTGGACAAAACCAGAGCGAACTGAACGCAAGCGTACCAGTTTGCTGGAGGTTCGTTTTCCCAGGCATGCTCCAGGTAAAAGGATGCGTGTTCGACATGATTACCGTAAGGAAAGAAGAGGACTCGCCTATGGATAGATGTCAGAGCCAGCTCGTCGGATCGAAGCGACAGGACGGTGCACCCACCAAGGAGAGCCGGCGCACTGGAAGACCGGGCCGTGTTCCTTCTTCTTGAGTTTCCGCCAATCCTGGATATGCCATGTGTGATACGTCTCATCTTCTGTTTCCAAATCGGGGTCTTTCGGGAGGATCCGGGCCATCATTGCTGCATCTGTAGTGAAAATCGGGGGATCAGACATGTCCTCAAGCTTGACGGAGAAAGCGCTCGTCACCGCGACCTGTAACGGCTCACCCCCACCGCGGGGATTCCGTGGCACCATCACACAACCATCGCCACGGCACAAGAGACGCCAAAGGGAGCAAAGGAAGAACGGGGGAGAAGGATCTTACGATCGTCGGCAAGAGGCTCTGGCTCCGGTTCCTCCGATCCGGACCGAGAGACGACGACTTCGTCGGTTCTGTCATTGTGATACTGCTCATATTCGTCGACGAGCATCTCACTGTCTGGGACCTATGGAGGATCCGGAACACGATGTCAGCGATCGGTGGCTTGCGGGGACAGGCATATCTGGGGAGGCGAATGCGAAATGATTTTCAGTGAGCCATAATATGAGAGAGAACTTACGTTGTCCATGTAGAAGGAAAAAAGTGCGTACCCGCACTGGAGTTGAACGACAGACTCTTCTCACGGACGGGACGCTGCAGGTTAGATGGGGGGGAGGAGTATTTAAATCGGAACGGGTTAATCCTTCGGAGACGTGGATAGGATAAGGCGAGAATGGAAGGGGGGAGGTGAAGAGGTCAGGACCTCGTAAGACGAGAATGAGAATTGAAAGAGAAGAGGAGGATCTGGGCTGCCGTTGATTCCAGTCCGCAGGAGTTTGGGATGAAGCTAGTGGCGGAGTTGCCATAACCCAATAATAACGGCCATGCGGGACACAGCAGCCCTTATTATTAAGAGGTTTCTGGTACTTCCCCTAACAAACCAGCACCAACCAACACCACCACCTTTCCTCTTCTTTTTCTTTTCACTGCCTGTTACTGCTCTATTCGCTGCTTTGATGGTAGTTTTACTCAATGGATTGGGGTTAATTCATATGGCTTGTTGACTTGAGGAAGGTGGATTTACTTAACAGTGACCATACTACTAGTCACTTCCATTTACCCTCGTACGATGGTTGACTCCATTGCCATATTATGGGCATTTGATGGATGCTCCCCTGTCATGAGTTGTGTGAACGCACGACCTGCACAAAAGAGAATATAAATATTAACAAAAGGGCAGTTACCGGTTTTGCCATCTGCAGCTTTACTCTAGGCGGCTACTAGGTCAACTTCTCCTGGCAGTTGCCTGGCGTTGGCCCGCATTCTGTTATCTTATTTACTATGCAGGACCAAGTAAGGCAAGGCTGATACCTAGGGACTACTGTACAGCAGTAAGTAGTAGCTAGCCAGTAGCCACCTACCCAAGCGTGATATCACCCGTGCATTTTTTTTTTTATGACGCTCCACTGTCTAAACTAGACCAAATCCGAGCGCAACATAAGGATGCTGCATTTCCGATTGACCGAAAAGAGGATGATTTGAAAAAGAATTTATCCGGCATCTAATAAATAAATAGTGAGAGGGAAATAATGTATCATATAGCTATTGGTAGTTCACTTAAGTATGCTTACTCTTTCTTACTTCGTGCTCTTCCTACCAATTATCCTTCTATTCCATTAGGCTTGGACCTCTTCCCAACGCCATCCGCTCTTAGTCCACGATCGGGTGGAATGGAAGATCTCCGTTTAATTAGGCAACACCAGCACCAGCACCAGCATCCCTGTACTGTATCCCTAACTTCTACCCAGTACCAATCTGACCTCGGATTGAGGAGTTTTCAGTTATACAAGATTGACACGAATACTCTCAAAAGGGGATATTATAGTATGGGTTGATGATTGCTTTCTTTCATGTTCTCCGTTACATGTGAGCATCGGCACGTCACATGCCTAAAGCTCTCACCGCCCGGACGCCTGGAAAACCGGCCGCATTTGCCATCAGGAACCATGTCATGCCACTGTGAGTTTAGCGGTCGTGGACCAAATTGATCCTCTGCAGAGCCATGTATGGACCATTCTCTCGGAACTTGATCTCGTGTGGCTCTTTTGATGCGCGTCCGTTCTTGCATTGGCGTAATACGGTCCCCTCCATGCCACACCCGCGCTTAAGCCGTTGACTCAGTCCAAACCACAGCAATATGGCGTGGAGTCATTCAGCTCGTCGCTGGCGGGCTCTTCGTCAATGCTGCACTCCAAAAATACGATTTAATTCCACTCAGCAAGCTCACAGTCCACCGCCGTGGAGACCGGTATCGGCTTTGGACGAGTAGGCTATCCTTGACACATTTTGCCGGGCGTCAATGCTAATGGCTTGCAGATGGGTTGAGCGTGACATCCGTCCTATCAGTTTGCGACAGCTAACCTTCTTTGGACGAACCCTGACTGAATCCCGGCTCATCAGTTCGGCCAACTACGTACGAACTGAGCTTCCAACTAGGTTAGTGCGGTTGTTCCATTGCAGTTGACGATTTCAACTAACTCTAATATTTCACTAGACTTGCACATCGTCTACGAGATATCCAACGACTCCCGTATGTGGTGGTGGCTAATCCCCACCTGTCCATGGTGTACGAGCTCTACTATAAGGCATTTGAGCGGTTTCGGACCATCCCAGAGATAAAGACTTTGGATGACAATGACAAATTCTGCGACATCCTACGTAAAACGCTCCGAGAACACCTCGTTGTGATTCCCAAACTCGCAACGGGTGTTCTGGAGTGCCGCGAGCTCGTCCCGTCAGATGTGCTGGACAGCTTTATGAACACACTTCTCCGAGCGGTAAGACTTTGTCTGGATGGATGGTATGATTCTCAACTAATGCATTTGGTTTAATAGAGAATTTCACGCCGCGTTATCGCCGAGCAACATCTTGCTTTAACGGAAACCTTCAACTCTCCGTGGCACTTCCCTGGATCCCAAGACCGCACAGATCTAAATGCCGACTTCGTCGGGGAGGTATTTCTCAGATGCAACGCGAAAGAGGTCGCTGAACGGTGCGGGAAGCTGGCGCAGGATATGTTGCGTCAGAACGGTGGATCGGATAAGATCCCAGAAATCTCGGTGCAGGGTCACCTTGAGGCCACCTTCCCTTACATGCTGAGTCACTTGGAGTATATCATCGGTGAGCTACTCCGCAATTCGATCCAAGCTGTGAGTGAACGATACCGGGACTCTACGGAGAAACCGCCGCCTATCGAGGTTCTCATCTGCGAGGCCCCGCAGCATGTGATCTTGCGGGTATCAGATCAGGGTGGCGGCATACCGCGTAAGGTTCTGCCATACTTGTGGTCTTTCAACAAGGGCCCTTACAGCACATCACACCTCCAGAACCTGGGACAGGTTCCCGCCATGGCTGCCACCATGCAGGAGCTGTGCGTGCCGACAGAAAGAAAGGATGCGGATCGGGACACATTCCGCGAGAGCTCGCTGGATTCGCTGACCTCGCGGCCTCCTAATCTACGTCTGGGGATCGGTCTGCCCATGAGCCGAGTGTATGCCGAGTACTGGGCGGGCAGCTTGGAGCTCCACAGCCTCGAAGGTTACGGAGTGGATGCGTTCCTGCAGATCTCGAAACTCGGCAACAAGAACGAACAGGTGACGACACGTGCGTCGATTGATGCAGTATAGAGGCTCGAAGTACGGAGAGGCTAAGTCTTATATACCTGCCAATATACACGTTAAACGAACACCAACCGCAACAATGGCACCTACCCTTAACATCTCCTATCTACTAGTTGAAACTCCCCACTTACCCCAGGTTTTCCGTAGCTCGGCCTTAAGCCCAAACAGGCAAGCGCGGCCCATTTGCGGCAGCTTGCGGGATGACGTCAGCCGGAATGAGATCCCGGCAATTCCAGGCCAAACTAAAAATATTTCTGCCTTGTTCAGTTGGTGGCCTGGCAAGGGATTGATCGCTCAACTCGGCTGCTGTGTTGTTCTCTCATACTCTCAACTTGCCTTGTGACTTGCTACCCGTGGCGCTGGCTCACAAGGCTGATTAACACTTGGGAAACCATTTTGATCCTCCAGTACCACCTTCCCGTCCCGGTGACGTCGATCTAAAAAACACTTGTGAAACCTTGTGACTGATTCGATCCTCTCTTCTCTTCTCGGATTCATATACAATGAAGCGTCTCAATTCCAACAAAGACGACAACGTCCCCATCTACATCTACATCCTGCTGGTGGTGATTCTATCCCTCAGCTTCCTGGGTACCTATTTGGACTCGAGCAAACGTGTCAAGTCTGCCGCACGGTCCTAATCAGTACTACTACTACTACTACTACTACTACTACTACTACTATATTGCCGTTATCAGATAGCCTTCAAATCAACTAAAATGGCTGGAACTTGCTCCATGCTCTGCTTGATTCTGATTACCTTGTTCAGTATGCAGATCCTCTACTTACGTTCTCACACTCTTTCATAAATCTGAATCTGAAGCTAATCTTTCTACTCATCTAGTACCTCCTCTCGGTGTGTTTATGATCTCGGGTTGCAGTGTTGATCTGCTTATCAATATACTCTTGACGATTCTCGGGTTAGTTCCTCATCCTTCGTTTCCACCATACTTTCTTGCCTTCGCAGTGTTTTTTCTAAAAGTGAAGGGTTCTAACCGAGTTCACATTGTGCAGGTACCTCCCCGGCCATGTCCACGCATTCTATCTCGAATACGTATACTACGCCAATCGCAACGCAGGGTCAGGCGAAGCACCACGTCGCGCGCCGGGAGTCTATTCCGAGCGGATTCAGCGCGGGGGGAATCATCACACGACGTATGGCACGATCCCTTGATAATGGATGCTGAATGGACATGGCTGTTTCTGTTTCCTTTACATTCGACTGATCAGGTATTGTTATGTTACGAGGCTCTTAGAAGAGTGACTAGTGTCGATAGCATCATTAATTGGAGTTGAGGTTCTTTTATTTCTACAATGCAAGTAGATGACATGCTCAACCTCAAAAACTAAAACCCAGCCCATGCCTTCCAAATATAAATAAATAAAACACCCAAAATAAACAAAGAACAATCCCAATGCAATTATACCATCCCTCCTACATAAACAACTCACTATACTTCCCCCACCTACACCGCCCCAGCAGTCGCAGACGCAGACGCAGTCCCAGTCCCAACATTCCTCCCCTTCAACGCCGGCAACCCAAAAGCCCTACTCGTGCCCACATCCCCCTTCGTCCTCATCGCACCCCCCGTCTTTGGAGCCCACCACAGCGCCCCAACCCACGGCTGCACATTCCACCCGACAGAAAGCGTAACGTTCTCCCTCTCAGCCATCTTCCCCGAAACATCCCCGATGGAGTACTTCGCCCGTTGATCGCGGAGTCTCAGTTTCCCAGGCTCAGACCCCTTCTTACTGGCAGTCTTACTGGAAGATGAAGTCTTCTTCGTACTGCGCTTCTTATTCGCAGACGATGCAGAAGGAAAGAATCTCTCGCGCAGGGCATTAAACGAGTACGGCGACTCCGGGGCCGGGATGATGGTGTCCCAGATGACGGAGTGGGAGGGCGCGGAGGTGGTTGGGTTGGTGGAGTCGGAGGGGTAGGTCGCGTAGACGTAGACGAAGAGTTGTTTGGTGTTCCAGTTGAAGAGGGGGGTTAGGTCTGTTTTTTTTGGGGGGGGGGAGGGTTGGGTTAGTATGGTGGTGGTGGTGTTGGGGAGAAAGGGGAGGTGGGGATGTATGTACCAGCGTCCAGATCGAATTTCATGGCGGCATATTCTTCCTTTCGTGTGCTGTAGTAGTGGGGACGGCCTTTTGTTCTGTTGGGTTGGAGTTGGGTTGGGTTAGTTATTGGTGGTGTGGATGTGGATGTTATGGGGGGTGGTGTATAGGTATCGGAGGGATTGATTGGGTTGGAAAGAGTAAAATATGGGGGGGAACGTACACTTTCACATCGCGCAACTTCACACTAGACGTCACATCGTCAGTAGGATAGAGAAATACGCTGAGAGCAGCGAGACCGGCGACGAAGAGAGCGACGGTCGTGAAGAAGCCGAAGACGCCTTGGGCGCGGTTGAGGGTTGAATGCATTCTCCCCTGTGTGCTATAAGTAGGATCTCGGGATAGAAGGGGGGGAGTATGAAAAAGGAAGATAGGGAGAATAACTCCCTGTGAAGTTGCGATGTCGCGAGGATGCTGGCTTGTATTTGGAAAGGGAATCAAGAAGAAACAAAGATGGGCGGAGCTTGAAGCCACATGGGCCTTTTTCGGGATTGGTTGAGTTGAAATGGCTGGCTGGCTTATCGATAAGCATCAGTCACTTTATCGTTGTATCTCCGATACGTACTGTCTGTCGCACTTTTGCTACAACTTCATTTCCTCGTTGGATTGGATTGCTGCGCGCAAGGTCATTATAGACAGTCGCATATACTCTCGTTATATATCTATATTCATCATTCTTAATTATCACTACAATATTTTCTCCAATTTATTACCTACTTACACCTACCACACCACATCCTCAACATCAACATCAACCACCATTTAACCCCGCATACTCCCTCCCCTCTCTCAAATTCCACACCACAATTAGACCACGCAAACAATATACATTACAAGATAAAAGCACATAAAATGGGCGACCATGTCCTCTTCTTCTATGGTACTCACGCCCCCTTTTCCTCCTCCACTCTATCCCTACTAAGATCTCCTTCAAAAGGAACCCTAATGGCCCCTCCCATCCTCCACCGCGTAATCCACGGCAACTCCACTCCAGAACCATGGCAAAAGGCTCTCCTGACAATCAAGCCGGCAATACTGCATGGCTATCGACGCCATCGCGTCCGGTATGCGGATTATCCGGGTATTATACCCACCACATCTTCATCTTCATCTGGTGATACTGCTACCGGTGATGAGGCATCTGTGCTAGGCACAGTAGTGTGGGGATTAACAGACGGGGACGTGTATCGATTGGATCGGTTCGAGGGGAGTGAGTATGAGAAGAGGGCGGTTAGGGTGAGGGTTCTAAATCATCAGCAGCAGGGTGAAGGTGAGGGTGGTACCGGGGAGATACAAGAGGTGTTAGGTGCAGCGGAGACAGAGGGCAGCGGTGAGACCAAGGAAGGGGAGGAAGTAGAGGCCGTTACGTATGTGTGGACTGCTGGAAAGGAGCGGTTAGAGAACGCGGAGTGGGATTTTGAGGCGTTCAAGAGGGATAAGATGGCGTGGTGGGTGCAGGCGGATGAGAGGGATTGGTAGGTAGTAGACATAGAAAGAATAGTTTCAGCTGGGTTGGATCAGATCAGGTCAGATCATCCGATTCTATCACATATCGATATATAACAATACATGTCACCCCTCATCTTGAATTCCACAGAATCACTCGTATGCAAATGCTTGGTATCTAATGCAACTGTCAACTCAGCCCTCCCCTCCCTAGTGTTCCGGAAACGCCTGCGTGCGGATGGCACAGATTAAAAAGAGGACAAAACAAATGGTGCATAAGATAGGTATTAGAGATAGTGCTTTTCGTTACTACTATGTGCATAGCTGACTACCTCGTGGGTGTCCCTCGTACTTGGGTTTCGACTGCCACAACTCTCACACCGTCGTCAGGACTATGGCCCTCCGGAGCATCTTCTTTGTTGTGGACAACGGTGCGCGGCTGTGTCTCCGACTCCGGACTCTGTCGTCGTGGCTTTGATGGTTTGGATTTGGTCTTAGGTGGCGCTGCCTCCGGCTGACTGTCTGGGACTAGGACAACATCTTTCTCGGGAGATGCTTCGGGGTGCCGTGACTCTTTGGTGTCCACTACCGGTGATCTTTGGATCTCCTTAGGTTTGTCCTGGCCCGCGCTAGGTTCCGCTTCGGCTTGCGACTGTCGTTCAGAATTCACAGCCTGAGCAAGGTCCTCCGAGCCATTCGACGGCCCTTTTTTCCGGGGTGAGCGTTTGCTTTCGCTCTCCGCACCCTCCAGCACGGGACTACCGAGTAGGTAACAGACTGGCTTTTTATTCACCATAGTGTCTTTGTCACTGATCTCGTGGCGTTTGAGCTGCTCCTGCTCGTCATAAAGCATGTCAAGGAATTTGCGGAGTCGCCGTCGGAGGAGACCGGACTTCAGCGGAGGCCAGTCGTCTTTCGAATCCATCTCCTTCTGAAGAAGCTTCCTGACAAACACATCCGGATCTTGGACGAATTTCTCCAGGTACGCCAGAAGATACAGACCGCAGTCGGAATAGTTGGGCTGCAGGGGAATATCCCGGGCCCTCATACCCTTGATCAGGCCTTTGTCGATTTCGACGCCCTTCTTAGATTTGGCTTCTTCGTATAGATATTCACGAAGGGAGCTTATTGTTGGCGAACGGGGCACATTCAGCGAGTCAAAAGTAATAATGATTGGCTGGCAGACGTCGTATCTAGGGCCCGCTCGCTTTGCCTTTTGTTTGCGAGGCTTAGCTGATGGTTCGGGCAGTTGAGCAGCTTCCTTCGTACCAAGCTTCTCGGGCGTCGTCGCGTTCTCTGTGAGACTGGAAAGAGTTTTGGAAGGCCGTTCTGGGCTAGCTTCGAGTTCAGGCCACTCTTGGTCTGCAGCAGGACTCTCTGCAGGCTGGTCTTTTCCAGCCCCATCAGCTATCCTCATCGTTTCTAGGGATCGCCTAGCTAACTCCGCTCTCGTAGGGCCTGAGCCGTTAGCGTGTTTTTCTTCCTTGTCCTTATAGGTGGCTACTTCCGGCTCTGGCGTTTCAGAGATCTCCTGAACCTGACTGTCTGGTGGCCCCGAAGGCTCTTTTTCGCCTTGTGTTGGTTCATTTGGATCCAGCCCTTCCTGGACAATCCCCTGCAGGCTTGGTAAGTTGCAAATTATAGCAACATACCAGTGCGCACTTTCATTGATTGGAACCACGACATAATCATGACTGAATATGTCGACGGTCCTCGTCCACTTCTGCACGCCGTCATAATTTATGCCCCGCTTTCCTCGAGGGACATTCATAAGTGTATCGTGAAAAAAAGAGTTGAAGAAATAGACTCTCTTCGCCGCGTCACTATTGGTGCGCTCCAGATGATCTTGCAGGAATCGAATGTAGAACCCGATAAGGTTGTCATTCAAGAACTCGTTCTCGCGCAGTCGGTCAAGGTCGTAAATATCCACCTCGGCCTTCTTTTTCCCAACTAGCGGATAGACAAGGGGTCTACTACATAGTCAGCATCAATAAGTACCATGGTTTGCAGAGTTGCATACTTGTGCCACTTTTCGGTGTTTACAGCTGGCAAAGGTGGCTGCGTATTTTCATCATCGCTATCGTCACTGTCATGTTTGTCAGTCGTTTCTACCACAGAATATTGACCAGCCAATACATACCACACTACAGTAGTCGCGGAAGGAAGACGCGACATGGCTCTGGTGGTGATGCTGGACGCAGACTTCTTCACGGGAATTTCCACACCGGGGTCCGTGGCACTCTTCGACACACGGCTTGGGCTTGATTCAGGCTGCGATGGGTTCGACTTGTTGGGCTTGGGTGCAGTAAGGGAGGGGTTTGCACGTTCCCGAGAGGCGGCAGCCGGCGGCGACGGCTGTCTCCCAGCGGCAACCCCGTTTTCATCTCGCAGATTGTCCGTAAGCTTCACCCGTTTCGTGGTGTCACGCTGCTTGTCCGGGACTTGCTCAAGACCGCTTTCCGATGATGGCCGTTTAATTCCATTTGTAGATTGTTTAGTTTCTCTTTGGGCCTTGTTGAACGCTTTGTCCATCCATTCGCTACTCTCATATCAGCCTCAGTTCAATAGCAAAAGGTAGTATTCAGGAACAGCAACGAGAGCCAAAGGAAAGCGGCACGAATGGAGGACAGAGAACAGACATACCTTGACTTGTCACGAACGTCGACCTCACCCAACAAACAGCAGAATTCCTCCTTCACAGTGGAAGACATGAACTCGATATCGATCCGATTATCGAGTTCCGACGTCTTCGATAGCACTAATCTAACCTTATTGTTTGGTGATTCTGCTTTCAGGATCTGTCGTACTCTAGAAAGAGGCGCTTCAAAAACGTTCTCCGGATCTGTCTCTTGACACAGTGCGATTGCGCGGTTTGTCATGTCGACGTAAACCTCGACGGACTTGCCGTCCGATGCCTGCAGTTCGATAGGACCAGTTCGGACGAACTTCACTTTGAAGGATCGCTGGTTCAACATTTCGGAAGCTTTGGTCTTCTTGTTCTTCCGTTTCCCTTTCTTGCTTGGCCCGGAGGCTTCGAAAAGGGTTGGTTTGATGTCTTGAGACTGGTGCTCACGGCCTGTCGTGCGCTGACTTCCAAGCTCAGCTCTCTTGTCTCCAATTTGAGCGGGCGGTGGCCGCACCGTTACCGCCCCTTGAAGCTCATCGGGACTCTCCCGCGATTCAGACACCCGTCTTCTGGGTTTTGCCGCGATTTCCGGATCATGAAGCAGACCCATCTTTGTCTTATTTGCAGGGTCCTGTGATTTCGCATTTATGATTTCGACGCTTTGTAGGATCTCATGTTTGGAAGGTCGGTCCTGCTCGGCGCCGGAGTCTACGTCGGCATTGAAAGAATTGTTTCTCCGTCTTTCTTTGGTTGCATTTTTCGTGAAACGTTCGTCGCGGTCATCATCGGACGGTGCTCCGAAGTTGGGTAAGGGACCACGCTTTGGGCTTGGTTGTATCCGGGAAGGTCTCACGATATTTTCAGTGCTTCGGTACTCGTCCACTTTTGAGCGTCTGTTATTCCGCTGTTTCTTTTGCTTCCCTGAACTCTGGCTCAAAGTAGGAGACATACGTGGTGGGTGACCGGCGATGCGGGGCGCCTCCTGAGCGGGGTGCTCAACATCGTTGTCAGACGATTTTGTGAAATTTCCACGGCTGAAATCGAGGGTATCCTGGCGGCGCCGTTTATTAGGTCTTTCAGAGCCTGCGTATCCTGTGACATTTGCTGGCTGGCTGTTCCGTAGGCGATGCGGTTTTCCTTGTGCACGAACCGGTCCACTGTCTCGGCCTTTCGATATCGTATCCACGGGTCTGAAAGGTGACTTGTTCCTGCTGTCAGCACGAGCACAGAAGCATTTACAGTTCTGATCATATCATACCTTGGGCTTATTGCTCTTTGTTTGTCCTGGCACTATAGGGATTCCACCGGGGTCATTCCTAAAAAAAGTGAATCTCGCTGATCAGCATATATTCATATGGCCACTGCGCAAAATTGAACGCACCACTTATTGGGAGGAAACAACCTAAGTTCATCGTATGCTTCGGAACGCTGGCGCGACTTGGCATGTGTTGTGTCGCCAGACCTAATACCAATCGAGTTAGCATCACTCGGTCTGCTTCCGCATTGCGAGGCCATATTTACAGGCGACGCATTCCTGAATCTGATCGAGGAACAGTCTGGCGATATTGTGGACGTACAGGTCGGTGTTCGTAAGGATGTCGAAGTCCTTCGGCATTGCTGAAAGCAGTCTACCACGGCCGGTGTTAGCAGAGCGGAAAATGTAAAATTAAAGGCCGAGACATGAGTTGCGAAAGAATGATCGCATGGTAATCTGAAAAGTGCTGGGCGGAGTACGGATACTTACGGTGACCGGATCAAGACTTTCAAGAGATGTATGAAGAGATCCGTATTCTATAGGTGAACCGGAATTCCATGCGCCGGACGTCTCAGTCCGCTGTATGTGGTCGGAGGTCGCATCTGATGGGGGTGCAGGATCGGGGGAGGTTTGCGGGGAGGAGGGGGTCGACTGGAGGTGCGGCCGGAGAGGAAGTCTGAGAGTTGTTTGAAGAGTGGCATGTAGTCACGAGCGAGGTCATTGCATGACCAGACAGGCCAAGAGGGTTCTCATATTCGGCGAATACCGAGCAGAAGTGGGCATGGCGATAGAGAGAAATGCATCATGGATGGGCCAGAAAAGGCGGTGGGAGGATTCTGCCCACCGACGTGCGGAGCCCTACAAATCTGCTGACTAGTTCTAGTCCGGCCACTAGTGCCCGCACTAGTGGTGTCTCGTGCATTTGCTGTAAGATAGTCTACAGTATGGCTCTGTATTCACCATTCGGGATGCCAAATAAGTATCATTTTGCGATATATATAGTAGTACACTTCCTTCAGCACTGAGGCAGCATCTGAAGTTGACACACTTCATATTCATGATGTAATGATGTCTGTTATCATTCCTAGTAGTAGATGAGGGCATTAACACAGTCTGCGGATATATATATCCCGTTTACTACTTAATACACTTAGTATTAATACAATCACTACTATGATTGT